AATACTAAGATTCAATCACGAAAAATAAACAAACGAATCAACTGACTCAATTTATAATCTCATTACTAATCAGGAAAAGAGTGATACTGGAAATGTCAGAGGTACAATAATGAAAAGTTTCAAAACCAATATCAACCGTAAATTAAATGTCACTTATTATTACAAATGTGAGTTACCACCTCTTGGAACTGTGCAATGCATTTTTATGCATTCGTTCATTTATTGATAATGAATGAAAGAAAGGATAGGAAGTAATTGATTATCACAAACATCCTTGGTTACCAGTATTTTATTATTAATAAATTGTTGATCATTGCACTCAATATGAACCACGTACAGCTAATGGAGAAGTTGTTGCAACTTCTGCATCAATATTTAGATCGAAGTATGTTTTGTTAGACATTTCTGGTTGATAATTTGGTGTATTAATTGTTGGTTTAGATGTTGAAGCTGATTCTTTATCAGCGAGATAATTAAATTGTGAATAGAAAAAGTCAACAATTGTTTTCAATCTTTTCAACGATTTATCAATCTCATCTTTTCGTGGATCATTAATATTATTATTATTGTAAGGTTGCCCATTGTTGTAATTAGTGGTTTTAATTGTGTAAAGATGGTTAATAAGTGAATGTAGTTCATCTTTTGCCAATGAGATCGATACTTGTTGCAATCGATTACAATTCACATTTGATTCCTTGTCCTCAATATCAGAAAGGTAATTTTCAATCAATGTGATGGTTTGGTTGTGTAATTTGTCAAATGTCTGAGTTTTTAATTGCTCCAATATTCCGTCAACAGTTAACTCGATATTGGTCATTCCATAAGAACCAAAATCAATTGGGTAAAATTCATCGACCATAATAAATTGTTCAACAAAAAACTTGACCTTTTCAGTTCCATCATGGTCAAAATAATCGGCTTTTTCCAGAGCGGTTAGTTGATTACTGAGTAATTGTAAGGTTTTCTCGGCTAAATCAAATATATCTCGTTTAGATTTATCCAAGTCTGTTAATGAATTTTTGATTTTCTTAATCATTTGTTGATTGTTATCCATTCGAGAATGAAGAAAAGAGATGATCAATGGTGGACTGTATTGATCGACTATTTGTCTTAGAAACTTGGCTTCTTCTAGTGGAGCTGTTGATGAGCTTTCCAGTCCTGGAAATATCAAATTGTAATCAAGTAATTTAGAATAAATCATAATTTAAAGAAAATTAAACTGAAATTACGACTTACCCATGGAAAGTAGCACAATTATCAATATTTTCATTCTTGCTGAGTTTCCAATTTGTTACTAACTAATTCAATTCGAACATCAACTTCAACTATCTACTTATACTAATGAATTTAGTTGCTAAGTTTATAATTCCAGTTTCATCGATCAAATTTTCTAATCAGTTATTCAATTAAAGCTTTTGGGTTCTCTATTGTTATAATTTTGATAATTCTAATGATAGCTAATCACTACAGATAGAGACACCCCAAATGCATTGATTTGGAAGACAATAGCCTGTGTAGGGTGTATTTCTTGATAACTGACGAAGAGCTGAAAACTCAAAGGTAAAGTTAAACGAGAAACTTGGTGGAAGTTTTTTGAGTAAGCTCATTTTAGTGACTATTCATATTTTAAGAGCAAAAATACCGTTATTCTATTAGATGAGAGTTTTCAACATTCTGAATTTAAAGAGTTTAATTCAAGAAAAACAATAAATTTCAATCCACGTGTGATTTTTTCCTGTTCATCCTCATTTTCATGGAACTTACAGAAAGAAGAACAAAAAATCTGCAAACTTTTTTCGCAAATTCTAATGAGCACATCTTACTACTAGCTGGAATCAATCTTAACAATAATACTTGATGTTTATCATATTTTATTAAGTTATCATTATGAAAGGTTGTATTCGATTAAATTTATTCTAAATTAACTTCGAAAATATAAAAGGAGTACATTATCCACATCCATTTTATATTAGTAGTTACTAACAATAAGATGCAAAAGTTTTTTTGATTTAGAAGATAATATATTTTCTCAACCCTAAAGATGGATTAATGATAATTCAATACAATCTAATCTATTAGCGTTACAATTGATGATAATCCCATCGAGTGATTTAACACCAAACAATAAAATGTGTGTAGGTTTAGTGTTTACATCCTTCTCATTTTGTTATTAATAAATTGATGATAAGCTGATCTATTATCAACTAGTTTCTGCTTGACACTTTTATGTTATAAGTCATTGAAATAAACAGAATGATAACAAATCATGATTACAGGTAAATCAACATTTTCTGGTTATGAGTTAATAATCAACTTGTTGTGAAATCAATCTTGATGATAAGAATCATCAATAGACAACAAATGCAATTGATTCCTGCCTTTTTTGAGTGATGTTAATTAGCTTCTGTTGATTAACCAATCTAAAGATTGACACTTGGGCCAGAAGACAAATTACTTTAAAATTAATATAAATAATTTAATCCATTTAAAATCTAATTGATGTTTCGATATAATTAGGAAATGGTAAGAAAATCTTGATGCTATTAACTTTTCAATGAAATAAACTTGTCAACATGAGAGTCGATTAATAACTAATTAAAGTTCATTGGCTTGATAATTAATGAAGAAAAGTTTTAATGTTAATGATTAAACCCTCAGAATGTTCATGCTAGGTGACGATCTTAATTTTGTCAATAGAATTTTCTTTCAATTTAAATGAAAGTCACGAAATGATTGAAATTGATTAATTTATGAGTAACCAAACAAGACCTTCAATTTAATGAATGTTATCATGATTAAAGTTTGATCGTCTTCATGAGTACCAACAATATAATGATTATTAGTTCAATTTGTTCTGGTTCATGTTCACCAATTATTTCGGGTTCACCTTTCATGATGTTTCTATAATCATAAAGTCCTTGATAATTTAAGTTATCAAACCTTTGTAAACGTCGTGATTAAGGTAAAGTCACTTTGAATTATATTTCGATCATACTTTTTATCTTCACAATTTGTCAGTAAAATTGAGACGAAGATTTTGTTATTTATAAAAATCATGATACAAGATAAACTCGCCAATTCATGTTACCTGAAAATTGTGTTGCAATTGAGAATTTCATCTTGAAATTTGATAGAAAATGTCTACATGAAGATGGTGATCAGTTGATTGTTGTAAATTCATTTTATTCCGGCGATTATGATGGTGTTGGCGATGATGATGAGGGCGATGGTAAAAAATTATATTTGATTAGCCGATTGATCATCTTAATCTCTCTATCTCATTCTATTTTGATGTAGATTCAACAAACGATGATATTTAAATCATTGTTGCTATTTTGTTGAAAGCTAATCTATCATTTTCCATTCATCATCTATTTGATCTTCATCATTTTTATCAGAACTTGAATATAAATAGTTTCATTGTTTGATGAGCACTAATTAACTGATTGACCAACATTTGTTTACTTTTACCTATTTTAGCCACAAGTAAGTGATCAATCGTATCGATGAGGTTAACGCTAATTTCTGTAAATTTTAAGGTTAATAATGATAATCAAAGGTATAATCAGCTTGTTAGCACGATTTAGTGATGAAAATGCTAAGATAAACTTGAATATCCTGAAGGTATGTTGATCATAATAATTCATTTACTCACTTTGGTTGATTGTTTTTTCGTGGATTAGATCAATCTCTTTTCGCAAGTTTTATACTGTCGATAATTAAAAACAAAAAAAAAGTCCATGAAGTTGTTCATTAATTAAGCAATTCAATTAACTCAATCAATTAGAAAAAGGGAAACGATTAACTTTTCAGAGTTTAATAACTTAATTGTTGTTGTAAAACAAAGATAATGAATACTAATTATCTCATTAAATCTTTTAATCTTATCGCATTGATACAGTTTTAATCTAAATCTGTGAATAACAAGGATAAGATTTTCAAGTTTTCTTTATTTCCTGAGGTTGATTAATGCATTGAAAGTTGGTCGATTGATTGAAAGATACTTTTCAGTTCTGCAATTAAATTGTAATTAAATTTCTGCGAAATTGAAATAAGAAATTGAGATTTGCCAATGTTTTAGCTTAGTTTCAGTTTAAGAACTGTTATATGACCTCTGGGAATCAGATAATTAATTTAAATTAATCAGCAAACTATTTATTGATTATCAAATAGCTCATGGCTCTCAAATCAATCCGAAATAATTGTTGCTTCAAGTAACTAACCTTTCGCTTCACCAGGCCGATAATTACAAAGGTTTTGAATCAAATCTGATTCATTTCGAGAAGTTCATTAAATTTGATTGATAATCTGAAAATTGATAATCATTGTGAGCATTTTCTCATATTTCAACATTTAATTAAATTAATTTGTAGCTACAAAACAAGACATGTTATTAATTTTATTTAGACGATAGAGTTTATCTCATTCTACTAATAAATATTATGAATATGCAAAAAAATTGAATGAATATTTTAGATTAATCATGATTAAAATGAAAAGAACTGTTTGTTTGATGAAATTCATTATTATTATAATTCTATCATTTCATGAATTGAATTTATTTCTTTTTACCTTTTAATCACAAATCAAAGTTACCTCAATGTTATTTCATCTTCATCTTTGATCCTCATCACAAGAAATAAAGTTAAATAGAAAACCTGATCTACCCCGCAAAGCCAACAGTCAACGTCTCTCAGGTCACTTCATCCTTGCGAAAGGATGGTCAATATCTAGGACAATCAAGGAAGATTCATGATGATTAACAAAATGGAAGAACAAGAGACTCAAAAATCATCTTCTTACCTTCTCACTTCTTGTTCCTTTTTCTTGCCAACAAACGAAAACTCAGGTAACTACAATTCTAGAAAGAGGATGATAACAAGCAGATAAAAGAAAGAGAGCAGTAGAAAGAGAGAGAGAGAATGAGGGAGAAAATGAAGATAATAGGGAGAAGTAAATAAGAGAAAAGGCAAAAAACTTACCTTTTAGGGCGTCTTGAAGAAGAGCCACTTGAGGAGAAGAAGAAGAAAATTCAGTGTTTTTACCTTCTCTCTATCAACATGATGTTCTATCTGTTGCTCATGAATTTTTCTTCCAACTCATTCACATGGAATACAAACAATAACATGATAGTTTTTCAACTGTTTAATTAAACGATTGATTAATTGGTCAATTGGGTAATTATTGTTCCTCCTCTTGTGTGACTTTTGTTTACCTGTTAAAGGTGATTCTTCATTGTTTGTGCTCTTTGTGTATCAACAACATGTTGCAACTTTTTTCGCCTCATTTTTTATCCAATAAAGTCAACAGAATGTGATTCAAGCAGAAACTGATCATCAGATTAATGGATTAATGGTCTTGTAGGATCGTAGTGATTAGTGGAATCAATTGGATTATTATTATTATGCTTTTCAATTACATGTTTCATTGGTTGTAAACATTCAAACATTGGTTCATCGGTTCATTTTTTGTTCATAGAGGTGATAATGTTCCCAGTTGACTAACAATTAAAATAATTAGTGAACCATTTGTTGATTGTTCAAATTAATGTTATGACTTGATGTTAATCTAATATCAAATATCATGTTGGTCATTTCAATCAAATGGTTAAACCAATTCCTTGTGCTTTTCTTAATTCTAATCAAATTAACTCATGGATTCCTTGATTTCTACATCAATCGTGATGAAGTCTCTCGTTTAATCGGTATGAATTCAGTTCTTTCATGAAATACTCTATTTTCTCATACCTCTGAATTATTCTCACCTTTTGATTTACTTTTAAACTTTGATTTTATCACTGATCCGATGGTGAGATTTACATCAGGAAAAACCGGATCTCTAATAATCTCTCAATTTAACCATTTCTTTATCTTCAACACTAATCCTCTTGATCGCAGGTCTTCAATCTGATATTTATTATGTTAAAAACGGAACCGTTAATGAATATGCTCTTGGCTTTGAGATGCCGGTCGATGCTAAGATTTGTGATCTTAATTTCACTTGGGTTAATTTAATTGGTCAAAAGGTAACAGAAAATTTAGATAATAAATACAATATCTTAATCATAATCTTATTTTATCTCATTTTCAGATGCCTTATTCAATTAATCTTCACATTGACAATGTTCATGCTCTTGGAACTACTCATATGAACATCTCAAGACAAGGTTTTGTTCCCAATGAAGAACAAGGTAATATTGATATTCTTATATATTAATAAATATATTTCTTTGGGTTTCGATTATTTTCAGATTAGTATTAGCATCTTGATTAACTTGTTACCGCTCAAGTTAATTAAAGTGCTATCAAATTATAATGAAACAATAAAAGGTATAAACTGTAATACACTTAGATGTTAGCTTGATTGATTAGTTTAATTGTTATTGCCAATGGTGATCTTGAGATAACTCATAATATTGACAGATAATTATTGATATGTTACCACAATTTCAGGTTTATTTACAGATTAATGAAATCGAGATAATCATAATTAGTAATTAACTGTAATTAATTCTCGAAGATAATGAATAATTAATATAAGTGCCATTAGCTTTGGATTTCTGATAAACTACCGAAACCAAAAGTTATCACTAGTCATCTAATGATTTATTGACTCTAATGATTAACTTAACAATTGAAAAAGTACCAGAATTTATCATCGATATGATTCTTGATTGTTCCCTATCAGCATTTCTTAATTTCGGCCATTTATCGAAACACAACTAACTGATTTTCTATTCTATTCTCTAGTTTTAAGCATCGGTTTACCATGTATCGGCAAGGAAGACGTCGAAGTCCATGTTTCCATCAATGTGAACATTTCGGTAGTTGAATCAAATGAAAAGATATTTTTATCTATTAAACGGAATCGTATTTGTGCAAAGGGATTAGCTCATACGATTTCAGAGAGTTCGTTTGAAAAAGTGACCTCGCCCTCTCTCATTCAACCTTCCATTGATTCATTCACCTTGATTCTTTGCTTTGTCTTTCTGTTTGTCTTCCTATTTGTCTTCCTGTTTGCCATTTGCTTATGTATTTGCAATCGACTGTGCCAATGAATTTCTGAGTCAAATTAACTTAGTTACTATTGTTTTATATTCTTATTAATTATAAGTCCACCATGAAATCAATTTGTACAGTTACTGAATACCATGATTCCAAGAGGTGATCATGTTAATCAAATGTTATCCAAAGAGATACAAGTTTCTATCTAAAATTTAATAACGATTTTTGTAAAATAACTGCAACAATTAAACTGATTGCGAATCTATTTGTCTGATATTTGAATTATTGATGAAACATGAGAATCCAAACTAACCTGAAATTAATTAACGAATGTAATAACTAAGAAAACGATTAGTCAGATCATTAAAGTATCAGTGATGTTTAATGACAAAAAAATCAAATAAAATTTAATTACGATCATCACTATTATTATTATTACCATCAAGATGATTATTATTAAATGATGAACATCCTGAGTGTGGGTAGACTAAAGTTAATTAAATGTCCAAACAAGTTTCGACAATTACAGTTATATCAGATTGTTGAATAAAAAGTTTCTAAAGAGACTTTAAAGTTTATAATTAATTAAGTTAATATTTGTTCAATGAAAAGCAGAACTAAATTTATCGTCATCAAAACCAACGAAACCTTTTGATTATCGTTACGATTACAATCAAGTCCAACAATAGAGCAAATTAATCTCATGATAATTATCATTAATTTAATTGAGAAAAGAAATCAATCTTTAATTGTATTCAATATATTACCTTAAAGTAATGAAACGGTCAAAGTCACGATTAACCAGCAATTAAGCAGCAATTGTGTTTACTATTAATTTGCTGATTTCTTGATTGTCTATTATAATATCTGCTCTTTTGCAAGGTTTGGCCTCTTCAATTAAACTTTAATTGCTATTCATTTAATTTAATTAATTGTAATCACTTTTTACACCTTCAGAATTAAATTAAACTATTAAAATCCTGCAAATAAATAAATTTGATTAAACTTTATTTTGTTTATGTTTATTGAATCAAAATGTTTTCTAAATTGAAACAATTTAAATTATCCTAGTAAGTGAATTAATTGTTACTCTATAGCAATTTAATTAACCATCATCATCCATACAATGAAACAAAGCTAATTAATTCAAAAGAAACTAAATTAAATCAAATTGAAATTTTGTAAAGGAAACTTGTTTACCTGTATTATAATAATTATTAATAATATTTAATTAATTTTCATCAAAAATTATCATATTGTTGTTTAAAAACAAAACGAGTCAATTAAATTGTAGTCAAAATGACCCGAATGACCTGAATGAATGACCACTATTACAGTTGAGTGTTTTTGGCCAAATCGTTTCATTCAAATCTTTTATTTGTTATAAACTGAAGGTGATTCCTGATGCCTGGAGAATTCATGATTATCATAGATCGTAAATCATGCAATGATAAATTGTTAATTAGCCAGCAATCAGGAAGATGTTTATCCTTTAATTTCATTGATGAATTTTATTCAGCATTTACAGTGAACAAACAATTTTATTTGAAAGTTTATCTTGAACCATTCAGTTGATGTTCTTGTGCCTTCGTTGGTGGATGTTGATTTTGCTCTTGATAACAATTCAAATTGCGATAATCATTGGAACCTGTTTATTAGTAGCAAATTTAAGTTATCGATTGATTGATGATATAATAAACATCACAACTTATCTCATGATATGAAGGCCACGAGACAGAGACGATGATGTTATCTTTTGTAGCAATTGGATATGAACGCCTTAATTATAAAACGATAATTATTGTTACAATTAAATCTAATTGTTCCTCTAAACTAAACACCTCAATCGCCATTACTGAATTTCCAACTTTACTCAATAATTAGAGTTAAAACTATAATTAAATAAGAGCAATTAATTGCTAATAATACTTGAATTTTTTAATTATTTCCAAATTTTGGCAGCTATCAACTCTTCGTACACTTAATTACAGTTAATTATTCTGCTCTTGTTTTTAATTCTTTCAATAAATAGTGATCAGTATTGGTAATAATCTCATGATAGTCATGAAAAAACAATCAACAGATTGTTTTGATTCATATGTGATTTCTTTTCAATCTTAACATTAATAAAATGAACAATTAACATCCGACTTCATTATCCATGAACGGGTATGAAGGGTTACAAATCCATTCAATTTTGAATCTTCTATCCAATGGTTGGTGATCATTAATTAAAAAAGTGTCGATCCAACTTGTTGTTTCAAATTTTTCATTAAAAATAAGAAAAAATTGTCAATTCAATGAGTTTATAAACTGAATTTCTATCTGATGAGCATGATAAAGACTTCACAGGTTTCGTTTGAATGAACATTAAAAGTAATTGTGACCATAATCATCTCAACCAAAGACTATTCATCTGCAACCATTGAAATGATTACGTGATTTCAAGTATCACTTTTTTTCTGGCAAAGGTAAACCGAAAAAAGAAAACTTTGATTCATGATAATTGCACAATATTTTCAATTTGATAAGATAAATTGTTTACAATTGATTCACTTTTTGAATGAGTGTTGACACAATGGATACATAGAAAAATAAGATTTAACTTTCAAGCGATTTAATATCAGGATCTCTTTTAATCTTATTTCCGGTTACCGAAAATCCATCAATACACTTAACCTTTGATCGTCCGAATCATTAACTCAAATATACTAATAAATATCAAACGATCAATAGTTTCATGGGCATTTTCAGGGGGAATGAGTAATAAAACTATTTTATCAGCTACTGAACCGAGAACTTCCATCTTCCTATTAAATAACTCACCAAAGATTGAGAATCTCCTTTTTCTAATTATATAAAAGCGCAAGTTAATCAAGTTCATGATTCGACTTGGAATCCAATCGAGATTGTCAAGGGTTAAGGTCATCTTTCTGACCTCAGTGGATCCAAAGGCGATCTCTTCAAGTTATTATTATAACCAAAACGATATTAAAGATACAACAATGGGAAGGAAAAATTAGAATAAAACAATAAAGAGATCAATCATTCTATTAATCAAGTTTAGCTTCCTAATCAGTAACTAACATTGGGCTAATCTTAATTAGGTCAATTAGTGTATTATTTAATCAGCTAATCATTAGATTAAGTTCTGTCCACAACCAATCAATCAAATTTTGTTTCTACTTTTCTATTTCTCATTTTAATGGCGTAAACAAATTAGGGTTGATATTGGATGAAATTAATACAATTGAAGGATTGGTCAGTCTTGTTGATTAAATTGATTAAAAAATAAAGGAAGATAATCAAAGAAGGAAATTGACTTTATACTCATTCACAATTAACTAACAGTTTTTTCATCAATGAAAGTTGATCTTTTCTCTATCCATCAATTTAATCTGAACTTTAAATGAATTTGCACAAAAATGACTAAATGTTTGTTAGTAATTAGATCATGAATTTGATTATGAGTTTATCAAATAATCATTTTCATTGTTGTTGATTAGTGCTGAACAAATTACATGAATAACTGTAATCAAATATCTGATTGTGTCAGTCATTGTTTTTCAAGTTACTTGACCGAAATGGTCAAGCAAATTTAATTGCTACAAATTTTAATCTAATACTTTCTATCCGTAATCCGTAATACAATTAATAACATAATGAAACATTAATTTGATTGTAAACGAGTTAATTATATCAAATGGATTCTCATGAAATTAACCTGCAAGGTTCAACCATCATAGGAAATAAGTTTGAGTCCAATGAAAACAAAAACAAAAAAGTTTATTGAGATTAAATTAATCTGGTCAGGTGAATATGATTGAACAATTAAGCCAAAAATTGATAATATAAGTGAATGTAAATAACGAAGGATATTATTAAATAAAATTAAAGGATAACAGTTTAAGTTAATTGGATAGTTTGATCACAATTAAGGATATTAAGGATATCCTTGTGATGATCTTAATTTATTATTCTGAATTATGGTTCTCAGCTGATTCTTTAGGGTGAATCTTGTATTATAGTCGTTAATCAGCTCTCTAACATCTCTCTTATTCAATCCATCTTCATCTTCTGATTGTGGGTCACAATGAATTCCATCATCATCGTCTTCATCAAGATCTTCCTCTTCTGAGCTTGTCAAGTCTTCCATCGGAGTCCAACATTGTTGACGATTCGATGATAATGGTGGACACTTATTTACATTGTTATCGTCGCTATTGAACAGATCATCAACTATGATTATTGGCTCTTCGTTGAAGGGTAAACGACGAGGTGGTGGAAGATAAGGTTTAAGAACAACCTTAATCTCTTCTTCATCATCTTCATCTGAATAATTGGCGCTGTCACTGATCGATGAGTGATTAAGGTGTTTCAAAGAGTCCAATCGAGTGATACTTTCCTCTTTTCTATTTGAAGAGAGATTTGAACAATCACCAGAGATGAATGGAAGAGTAGGAGGAGGAGGAGGTGGAACTGAGGGAGATGATGACAACGAAATTGGTGTGGTTTCTCTTGGATAGTTTCCTAAGATCCATTGGGATCGATGATTTGCTGATGATTGTCTTTGATTATGGTTGGATGATCGTTGATAATCTGGTGAGGAAGGAGATGAACAATTAAGTAATCGGTCTGGACCAATTAATCCGTCAAGATGATAAGAATGGTGATTGGACTGAATATTGTGGTTGATTGGACCATTTAGATTCTGGTGAGCACGAGTTTTATTTGACATCATATTTGATATTCCAAGTTTAGGTGACATTTGACCTTCTTGATTGTATTTGTTTCTGTCAAACTCATAATTGTTAATCTTTGATGGATAAAGATCAAGTGCTTTCTTATTACTGATCCCGTTCGGTCCATTGTAGCCTCTCGAGTCTTGGTTTAGTCCAGCATTTGGAGTTGTCCGTTTTAAGATGAAATTGTCATCAAACACCGGCGGTAATTGGGTTGGCTTAGTATTTTTAATTAGCTGTTCGTTTGAACCAGAAATTAATCGATTATTTTTATCGTTCATTTTATCTCTTTTGAACATTTTGCTTACTCCTCGTCGACCATTTTCATTTGCATCACTTGCTCCTTGATCTTTATCGCTCATCCCATTGGGAGAATCATTGACAGATGATCTCAAAGCCAATTCTTTAGCAATGAAATCGTTTATTTCATTGAGTGAAGGTTCGTTTGATTCTGGATAAATGTGACAGTTCATTTCGTCGTAGTTGGTGTATCGATCGTCTCTTTTTCCATGATTCGAGTCGA